CGACAGGGGAGGCCCTGAGGCAGGTGCAGCCACCTGTGGTCCAGGTCTGGACAGGAGGTGGGCTGGGCCAGCCAGGGGGTGGCTGTCGGTGTCCCTCCACCCCGCCTGGGCTGTGTGTGTCCGTGCGCATCTGAGCGCCACACTCAGAAAAGCACCTGCATCCCTCCCACACGTGTTGGTCACTTTGCTGAGAATGTGTTTCCTCCCTTGCAGCTGAAGATCCCTGACCTGTTTCGTGACCTGGACATTGTCCCAGCCCTGCTCCATGGAGACCTCTGGGGAGGAAACGTAGCAGAGGACTCCTCCGGGCCCATCATTTTTGATCCGGCTTCTTTCTATGGCCATTCGGAATACGAGCTGGCAATAGCCGGCATGTTTGGGGGCTTCAGCCGCTCCTTCTACTCTGCCTACCACAGCGCGATCCCCAAGGCCCCAGGGTTTGAGGCACGCCTGCAGCTCTATCAGCTCTTCCACTATTTGAACCACTGGAATCATTTTGGATCAGGGTATAGAGGGTCCTCCCTGAATATCATGAGGAATCTCATCAAGTGAGCTTCCCTGCTCTGGAGGGGGCCTCAGGCTCAGGTGCACCAGGTCCTAGCCAGACACCTGTGGCCAGCGCCTCCCGTCCTCCACAGTCCTGTCCATCAGGGCCTGTTCCCCGAGTTGTCCTGCTAACTTTGTCCTCCTGAGCTTGTACATTTCCTTAGACTGCATAGCTGGATAAAACCAGCTCTGTGTGGGTGGGCCCCGTTGAAACCCCTGCTGCCCAGAGGCTGAGCAGGGAAGCGGCCGGTATGCCAGGTGCTGCTGAGGACACATTCCCCTGGTGGCTCCTCCCGTGTCATCTCCAGGAGCAACTCTGATGTTCGGGAAGATGCTTCTCGATGGGTTAGATGTGGGTGTAGACATGAAACCAGTACTGAGGACAGCTTCTAATGCCCAGTTTCAACTGAGCACATTCCCTTTCTTTCTGTGCCTCCCTGTGCGTCCTGCCACAGGCCGACCAGTCTGGAAGCTGATTCTGGGAGTGACCAAACTGCTAGTCTTGGGTAAATTTAGGAGCCACCGAATCCCTCCTGTTGGCACCCCATCTTGCCTGCCGTTTTCCAAGCTTGTGAGTTATTCCTTTTTATAAAAAATTGCTAAACCAGTGGCTTTCCCTTCCTCATCTTAACAGTGATGGGGAATATTCTTGAATGGCATTGATGCTGAGAAAGTCTTTTGCATAAACATTTGAATAAACTTTCATTGATTTCAATGATGTACAAGACTGTGTATTTCCTTCATTTGCATCGTAGTTCAATGTTTATCTTAGGTGTTTGCCAAGAAACCTTTGTGATGTATTGTGACAATAAACAGGTACAACTGTTGTTTCTTAAAAGCAGTTTTCTTTCTTGACTGTACAATAAGAGAATAGCACGGAGTTTTCAAAGAAGGACGGGTGTAGCCTGAGGACTGCTACTGTGGGCCGCTCCGGGAGGCCTGGTAAACAGTGGACAATAGAGAGAGGTCCCGGGAGGCTCCTCCCGGGAGCTGTGCCATCAGCGAGTGTGTGGCCAGGGCCCCACGCAGGACACAGTGTCACAGCGGTGTGGCAAGTGCTTGGCAGATAGGTGGTATATCCGTGTCTCCTGTGGCTTTGGTGGTGGTGCAGGACTTGTCACCTTTTTAGACTTGGCAGTTTGTACGATTGCTCATTCTAAAATACCAACTTTTGTACCTAACTTTGTATCCATAATTTCTTATACGTGTATATATTTTTATATAAAGAGTTGTCAAGGGGCGCCTGGGTGGCTCTGTCAGTGAATGTCTGCCTTCGGCTCAGGTCATGATCCCAGGGTCCTGGGATCGAGTCCCGAGTTGAGCTCCCTGCTCAGTGGGGGACCTGCTTCTCCCTCTGCCTCTCCCCTGCTTGTGTTCCCTCTCTGGCTGTGTCTCTCTCTGTCAAATAAATAAAATCTTAAAAAAAAAGTTGTCAAAATTGTATAACCTGCAGACCCAGAGGCCCGGGAACCTACCCAGAGCGGTTGGGGGGTTGCCCTGTTCCGTGAAAGCCCCTCTGCACACGTCATCCCAGTACAGAGATCACAGTGTTTCCTGGGTGTCTGGGCTGACTGGGAAGCAGAGGGGATGGAGTTCGGTTCGGAGCCGTACTTTGAGAGGGCAGCTGTGGCACGGTGTCCCGGCGGCAGCCTGCCTCCTATCCTCGCAGGGCGGCCTGCTGGTCTCTGGAATAGCGGGAAGATTTGGCTAGACACACAGGCTGAGCTCTGGATTCAGCTCCTCGACCCCTTGGCTGCGAGACGTTGGAGCCCTTCGGGGCAGCCGTGAGCACCCCAAGAGCTGCCAGAGGCAGGGGCCTGGGGAGCGGGTCATCCCTGGGGCGGTTGTACTTCTTACCGAAATGGGAATATTGTATCCCAACACCTCATGGTCTGCCCCTGCCAGAGCACCACCCTTTCCACAGAAGGAAGTCCTCAGATAACCGAACTTGACCTTCCCACCCCAAAGCTTATGTGCATCCTTTTGATGAGAGTGGCCCCGAAAACTTGGTGTCTCCACCTGAAACAGGATGCCAGTGCCCCCGGGGTCAGAGACCTCACTGCACCCTCCGAGCACTCGATGTGGTTTCAGGCCTGTGTTCCGTGTCTAGGGGCCTCAGCCGGCTGTGCCCTCCCAGTTTTTGCCCTGTATGGGATCTTGAGAGCAGAGGTGCGTGATCCCCCTCAGCTTATCATTACCACAGTTCCTGTGTCTCAGGTTTTCATCTCCCTTTGTCTCCACATCCTGCTCACTTTCCCTCCAAATCTAACTGAAGCGCTGGGAAATCCTACAACCAATGGAGTCTAGCGTGTATGTCCAGGACTTGGGTTTTGAGATCTCTTTAGGCTTATTCTAGGCTCCAACTGCAGGGCAGAGATTGGGGAGGGAACTCCTGTAGAAGAGGGTGTGACCCTGGGCTGCCCGGAACAGGAGAGTGGGGTTCCTTGTGGGTTCTGAGCAGACTGCGTCTCGCTGGGCAGAGCCCCCATGCCGGGGGTCCAGGCGGCTGGGGGGGGCCTCCTGTTCACTCTGCAGGACAGTGCTGGTGGGACGCCTATACTCTGTGGAGGCAGGTAGAACTCTGTTATGGGATGGTATTCGGCATGCTTTGGGATTCAGAGGGAATCAGAGTTACAGCCAAAATAAGGGAGGAAAATGCAAGTTTGGAAAGAAGTTCAAGTGGCTGCAGAGAGCAGAGGGTAACACCTTGCTCCAAACGTGAAATTAGCAAGTGGGACACCGGGTTGCAGGAGACTCGCATACCCCGGGGACAGGTCCCGGTGTAGGGTTAGGGACTAGAAAAACCCGCTCAGAAGCCTCTTTAGCCCTCCACCTCCACCTCCACCGTGAGGGAACCACACTGCACTCGGAGTGGGAGGACCGTCACAGGAGGCTCTTAGGTTTATCTGAGCTTTGGATCCCTCTTTCATATCAGGTGCTGATAATGACACCCACGGGCTGTCCGAGTGCCCGGCTGCCCACTTGGCGGGGGACACTTTCTCTGTCCTCCCAGCATGAGACTAGCCTGTCCGCGTGGGTTTCCTCTTGGGCAGAAATATGTGGACACGCTGGAATATGTGCAGAAGCAGCAATCAGAATGATTAAGGCATCTGAGTTCCGAAGGCGTGGCAGAATCCCCCTCCCTTTCTGAGAACAGTCATCTGCCTGAGAGGCGTGGCCCCAGCACAATTCCTGGTGGAGGCCAGGGTGATCGACTAGCAGGGACAGCTGGACAGCGTCCCTGCTGGCTCAGGCTGCAGCCAGGGCCTTGGGACTCCAACCCCCCACCCTGCTGCCTTCCCGGGGTCCTTTTTCTGAGCAGCATTGCAAAAGCCCCACCCGGCTGTGGGCTGTTTTCCCTCTTGGTGCCACTGGACTCCGTGTCACAGTAAGGGGTCTGAATAAGCAGGGCAGTCCCCTGTATGCACACGACCCCATCATTATCTCAGTCT